ACCCTCAAGGACTGACGACGTCCAAGTAGCGGACTGAAGCCTGAACCAAGTGACATTTAGATGGTTTCTGCTTGAGATTCGCCTTTCAAGGCCTGGAAAAAAAACCTCAAACAGTCGGCAATAATGCTACTCAAAGGACCGTCCAAAGACAATGACATTCTCTAAATAAATTAAAAGAAACACGTCCAATTGCAGTGCACCTCATGCTGACACCATTAATTGCTGGAAAGTGGCTGGTGATGTTGGTATCCCAATAGGCAAACAATTGAAGTGGAAGCGCCCCTGTGGGGGTCCTGAACGCTGTCTACAGTCGAGACTCAGAATCAATGGGAAGTTGTCAAAATGCTGACAATGAGTCTAGAGTGCTGAATAATTTTTCTCCAGAAAGAACATCCAAGATGTGTCCATGCATGGCAAAGGGTAAGCATCAGGGAGTGAGACCTTGTTGAGACTACGGAAATCTACGTAAAACCACAGGAAGCCATCAGATTGACAATAAATACTGCAGCGCCCCAAGGACTTGTGGACAAGATAATGATGTCGGCCTGTAACATCTCGCAATACTGCTTTTTTCACCTTGGCTCTATCACTTGGACTCGTTGTGTATGGGTTCTGACGAATGGGTGCCGCATCCCCCGTGTCTTCTTTATGACGCTCCATCAGTGTCATGCGTCCCAACTCATGGCACACAATGCTGGAATATATCACCAAAATCTCTTATTGGAGCTCTCAATTCCACTATTTGATTGACTGATAGCTCCACATTTTGCATTGAAATTACATCCATCCGTGAATAACCTATTCCTCTTGAGGTACTGTCAACTCCACATGAGTGTGGGATTTCCCTCACAGGGTGTAACAGACATTGGGCCAACGTAAAGCAAGAGTGTTCCTGCTTGTACGGTAGTGGCCGTGTCAGACGTGTTTTTAGAAGTTCCACAAACAGGCATTGATTACTGCGCAGAACCGTATCCGCACCTTGCCAGGGAATGATGGTTTGTAGCCACTACTGCTGTCAAAAAAAACAACACAGGTGTGTGTCAACCCGTGGAGTGCTGCTGGAGGAATGGTCAGTTTCTCTAACGAGGGCCTGCACAACAGGTACCTGGTCTTCCAAACGCCCCCTCATTTGCATTTAGTTTTTCCCAGGCTCTTTCAAATTACTCTGACCAATCTGATTTGAGTAGTTCTCCACCTTCCAATCAGATTGTGCGCCCTTCGTTGGCTCCCCTATGATGGCTCGACAATTAGAGTCGAACGCGCTATTTGAACTCACAAGCTGTTAGACCCCCCCAGTGAGTACTGTATAAATGTATTTCTTCATAGTATTTCAGTTTTCAGTTTATTTTTTATTTTGGTATAGCCCTGTGAGTCATTCGGCTCTTGAATCGGGTGCAACCACAACAAACAATAACACGAACAAGAAAAATCTAAAAGTGACTATGTGACTGTGCAAACAGAAAATCCATGAAAAAAACCAGCAAAATATTCCTGAAAAAAGCACCGTACACCAACGCTGTGTGCAAAAAAATCCCAGTGGGATGCAAGTCAAACAACAACAACCACAAAAAAACTTAGATTAAGGCCATCAGTCTAACTCCGTACTACAACAAAACAAACATGTCCAAACCAAAAAACTTTTCGAAATCACCAAAAAATAAAGCCATAATTGCAATGTAACAGTGATCATAGGGACTGTGACCGAATTTTTACAATAAACTACATAAATAACATGTAACACCAAATCCTAGAGCCATAGCTGGCTACATGAGTTACTCCACAACAACAGAAGCATCAGTCGGAGTATCAAATTTTTCAATGCACCTTTAAGATCAGCACGCTAAATCAAAATACAGATAATACTTTGCAGCGTCATCCGGAGCGAAACATTTTATTTTATTTTACGCCAATGAATAGCAGTGGCAGCTAGGGGTGTACAACTCCTCTAGAGCAGTTTTGAGAGAAGATCTCATTGGTAGCGATTCAAGTTGCAGTTTATTGGCAATAGCATTCCAGACCCTGGGGGCATCAATAGCAGAGGCCCTTCCTCCAGTTTTTGTACGGCAATAGGGAATGTGAAGCTGGTAAATGAGCGAAGACCTGAGGTCAAATTTGTTCTTTGAAACAGAGAGGAGATCCAGCAGGTAGTCTGCGGATTTTTTTGTAAGTACATCGTGAATAATAAGATCTGGTGCACAAGCCGTCTAACATTAAGATATGTTAAGTTTGACCCAATGTAGAGATCACAGTGGTGAGTCTTATATGGGCAGTTCAATGTAAATCTTAAGGCCGAGTGATAGATGGAATCAAGCTTCTTCAGTACAGTACTTGGGGCTGATTTATACACGATGTCACAGTAGTCAAGTAAAGGCAGTATGGTAGCTTTTATCAATTCCAAACGGAACATTGGAGGGAAGCAGTGCTTGTGTCGATACAGAAAACCAATTTTATTTTTGTCTTTTTACCAATATAATCAATGTGATCTTCAAAATTCAGTTTTGAATCCAGGATGAGCCCAAGATACTTATATAGATCTTGACTTGCTCTATTTGATAATTATTTAAGGAATGTAATTGGGGAAAAATAACTTCCTGCTTTAGTCCTGGTGAGAAGCATAGCACCTTGGTTTTGGAGGTATTCAGGACTAGTTTAAGAGCAATTAGCTGATGTTGTAGTTTGTTGAAATCACCCTGTAGCTTAGCAATCACGTCATCCGGAGAGCGGCCAGCAGTAATCAGTATCGTGTCATCTGCAAAAAGATTTACCCTGGAATGATCCAGGTCAGTGCCCAAGTCATTGACATAGAGAGAACAAAAGGGGGCCGAGGATGGAACCCTGTGGAACCCTTATTGTTATCTTAACTGTTTGACCCCTAAACATTTGTGAATACAGTTTGGGTGCGAGAAAAGAGGTAATTTTGTAACCATTTTACTGCGTTTTTGGAAAAACCGAGGCAACTTAGTTTACTAAGCAGGGTGTTGTGGTCTACTGTATCAAGCTTTGGATAGGTCTAGAAAAAGACAGGCACAGTACTGCTTATTATCAAGGCTACTGTAAATGTGATTCAGAGAGTCTAATGCAGCAGATGTGGTGCTGTATTTTTTTTCGGAACCCAGATTGTTTTAGATGTAGTAGATTGTTGGTGGACAGGAAACTGCTAATTTGGTAGGTCAATTTTTCAAAAATTTTCATCAATGGGGACAAAATTTAGATAGGTCGGTCGTTATTTGGATCATCTTTATGAAGTGGACGGACATAGGAATGTTTCCATTCTAGAGGAACTGACGCTTCTTTGATGGACAGGTTGAAAATATGGGCTATAGGTTTGTATATTAGGTGACCAACAGTTAGTAGAGCAAAGACGGGAATACTATCTGCTCCGGTAGAGGAGGACCCTTTGAGGTAGGACAGTCGTTTCAGAACATTACTTTGGTGGATTGACTGGAAACTAAATTCGTTTAATGTTTGGACAGGGGTGTAGGAATTCGCATGAGCAGGGGTGACTCCCAATACATTATCAAAAAGATTACCAGCTTCAGAAAAATGAAGGTTAAAATTGTCAACTATTTTTTGGGGATCTGAAAAATATTCCCCATTTCGATTAAGCTCAACGGGCAGATTGTCTGTTTTGGATGCCTTTTCGATACATTTGATTGTTTTCCAGAAAATCCTGACATTTCCATGTGATTCCAGGAGAGTGGAGGAAAAATAGGCATTTTTTGCATGCCGTATTTTTTTGACACATCTATTCCTTAAAATCCTGTATTCTAGCCAGTCATTGACCAAATTACTTTTCTGAGCACATGCCCAAGCCTTGTCCCTAGTTTTCATGAGCTTTGTAATCAAAGGATCAACCCATGGTAGGCGGTTGCCTTTAATTTTAAATCTAACCAACGGGGCATGTTTGTTAAGAATTTGGAGAAACGTGTACCTGAAGGTCTCCCAAGCCGTAGTCAGGTTGGGGATATCACAGACCTTGTCAGTATCCTAGTGAAGCACATCATTAGTAAATGCCTGAGTGCTGAAGTGTCTCATAGAGTGCTTCTCAACCAATTTAGGGGGGGGATTTGGGTCTGGCTGATGATCTCACCCCAAAAATGAAGGAGTGATCACTAAGGTTATTACCTAGAACACCAGTCAGTGTGAAATTGTGAGGGGAATTTGTCAATAGGACGTCAAGCAGAGATGACTGTCCCGGATTTTTTAGGTTGGGTCTTGTGGGGACATTTATTAATTGAAACAGATTAAATTCATCTGCAAAATTTGTGGCCACGGCCGGCGGGTTTAGCCAATTCCAATTTAGATCACCCACTAAAACTATTTCACCTTTAGGGAGGCTCCCAAAAAAGCTCTCAGTGCAGATGCAGCTTCAATATCCTTCCCACTAGGCGGTCGATAGCAGTACACTACCAATATCTGTTGATTATTTGGGAGAGTTATTCTGAGAGCCAGACCTTCAAAACAACATTTTTTAAACAAGGAGTGAGCTAGTGAACATGCAATAGTATTACGAACATAGATGGCAATTCCACCTCCTTTAGGTCCTCGGTCAAGCCGAAAAAGGTTGTAGTTGTCAATCGCAATCTGCAAGTCATTGACGGCAGGAGTGAGAAATGTTTCCGTTAGGCAAAAAATGTCCGCGTCAAGATTCGCCACTTCTAGTTTTAGTTGACTTAATTTAATCACAAGCCATCTGATGTTGACATGTAGAACACCAACACCTTTCCTGCCAGAAAAATCTACAGAATTATACGAGTTCCTGGATAGGGTTGACCTCTCGGTTTCCCTTACAAAATCCATGCGTGTAATGTCACCTACTTGCTTTTGGTGCGTTGCTTATTATGTTTGCATCACAATTTCACTCGCAGGCTGCGCTAAATGCAGGTAGGCGTGCGTTGCATTTTGCGCACTCTGTTCTTGGGAAAAATGTTCGTCCACAATTATGAATAATAAACCATTTCCCTCATCTCCTTTCCTCCCCTCTCTCTTAACATGTACAGATACCCAGTGACTGCTTCCCAATAAGAATTAGACGTGCAACAACAACTCAACCGAGAAGGAGCACCAGTATTTCCGTCCTGGGCTGCACTTCTGCCGCACAGAGTGTCACTGGGAGCTGCAAGGTTTCTGCTGGAGGTTTGCCGAGGAGAAGATGTGGGTGTGGTGGAGAGCGTGGAGCGTGGGAGCCGTCGCGCTGGCCGTGCTGGCGCTGCAAGCCACAGGTGTGCCCCGGAGGGAGATGCGCACGAACGTGTCAGGGAGAACCGGGAGTGGGAAGCCCGCAGGCGACACCAACGCGGGGAAAGTGGGGCCCCTTTAACACAGCTCGCTCCGTTGTCTCTCTCGTTTATAGCCGCTGGGTAAGCCGGTAGCATATTGTTTAATGCTTACCACTGTGCCCCGTGGATAGTTGAAGTACCCACAGCTGCCCCTTCGTTTATGCAGAGTGTATGTTAATGTATCTCTTAATGGACCAACGAAGGAGATTTTCATTTCCTGGAGTCACGAGCTGTGAAATCAGCTGTGCACTGGGATATGAGCAACAGTATTCCCGCGAATTCGTAGCAACCATGAGGTACGTGGCTCAGGGTTTCAGAACACTGACCGATACAGCTGAGGTCCTGGATTAAAATCTGGGCATCTGCTGTTTGTGATTAAACCATCATCTTTAGTGGAGCTCAGTCCAAGTCTGCATGTAATAGTACATTTGGTTGGCGTTGGCTAGGACGCGTGTAACGGGTGGCCGTGACTCAGTTTTTTGTAGGACGTGTTTAACGGGTACCGTTGGCTTGGACATGTGTAATGGGTGGCGTTAGCTAGGACGCGTATAATAGGTAATGTTGGCTAGGACGCGTCTAACGGGTGGCGTGTCTCTGCTGGTTGTAGCGGCCGAGCGGCCCGACAGCCTGCTTTTGGGAGCCGGGGCCAAGGGCAAAGCAGATGGCAAGAAAGACACGGCCGGGACTGACGACGGAGAGATCCCAGAGCCGCCCAGGAACCTTCTGTGCTACTGCAGCCAGCACTGCCCTCCGGAAAGTGTCAACAACACCTGCAGGTGAGGAGTAGCACTGGGCACCATGGGCCGTGCGGTCCTCACGTCAAACACGCCACAGGTTCCTTTAATTCGCCGATAATGTCTTTTTTACGGCCAGGTGTATAAATAAACGCTTATACATGATAGGACAGCCGTTGGGCCATCATGCGCCGCTCTGCGTAGCTTCTGTCGGTGGGAGAGTCGATTATTTGTGATAAAAAGTCACGTTCACCTCATGTGCAGCTTCCTTTGAAGTTCAGTCATTTAGGTATGAATCGCTTGGTTACACGAATGAGCATACTGATTTTAGGTATTCAATTATAGATTTCTGAGTCTGAACACCTTGTAAAGTAGGGAACGTACTTACAACCGCCTATAAAACCAGTTATGGCAAGCGTAAAATCTGGTTCTGTGTAGTGGATGATTACATTCATAACACGTGTTTTATTTAGACACTTGAAAAGGTACTCGCATGAGTAAAGTGGTTGCCTTGGAGATGAGTTGCCAACTTTACAAACCCCTACACGGGGTCCGGCAGACGAAAGAATGTAATGTCAAAGTAAGGTGAGGTCTGCGTTGGCCGCATTGACCCCTTAGCCTGACAGTGACAAACATTGCCACTGCTTGATGGATTCTCTGCAAGATACGGGAGCTCTCCTCTCTTATGGATGAGCTCTCTCCACCTACCCTAGTTTCCCAAACGTAAAATATTCCAGAATTGTCTAACTGTCCACAGTGCCTGAAACTGAGTCTTGAGACTCAGTGAGACTTTCCTGGATAAGTAGAGCCATTAATTTTTTCCAAAAATATTTTTTGTTTCACGTGTTATGAGCCTAGCCAACGATGTTTTCACCTACATAAATACTTTCCAATAGTAGGCCATTGTGTGCCTGCGTAATGGTCTAAAATTTGCCAAATTTGAAAATTGCCTGCCAATTACTCAGTTGGGATTACACAAATAAAACAGCAACCCTTGACTTGGAAACAACTGCAGACTGTGTCTGTGAAACATATTGCGCCTTCCGTCGTGATGGTGCCGCGCTTTTAGCACGGCACAAACACCACACGTGCTCAATTATAACTAATTGTGTGCCGACATCAGGGCGAGCGGCTACTGCTTCACGATCGTGGAGGAGGACGACGCCGGGGAGGTGATCACAACGGCCGGGTGCATCCAGCGCGAGGGCTCAGAGTTTCAGTGCCGGGTGAGAGCCTCCTCCTCGTGGCCCCCACGGAAACCATGGTGCCATCGCCCCGTGCCCCAGCACGCAGCGTTCAGCCGATCCGTGTAGACAGTTGGCACGTGATGCTTCACCTATCCTGTGATTCAACGAATTGTAATAATTTGGGACCACAATTCAACAGTCCGTTTTTAGTTACGAACAAAATGTGCAATTATGTAATTAGTTTTTCAGGTTTTCATTCGGGCCAGCCAACACTGCTTCACCCAGCCTCTTGCCCTCCTCCCACTCCCCCGCAACCTCCAGTATGTGCGTACTGATGTCTTCCTCCCAAACAATCGTCATGCGTCAGTAGGCGCCGAGATGTTAAGATGGCTGCGCCACTCCAAAAATAATGCCACCAAAAAAAATAACATTGAACCAGACCAGGAGGCGTGCCAGGACTTTGAGCCCAAGCCATTATTGTTTTGCGCCTCGACGCCCATTCCGAGCAGCATTTTTAGTGAAGTTCTTTTTGTGGGCCCCATTTGACAGGACTCCCCCAAGTCCCGGTTCCGCAGGACCATCGAGTGCTGCGTGGAGGGCAACTACTGCAACAAGGAGCTACGGCCAACGCTGCCGCCACCTGGGGCCTCCATCGGTGAGTGTACATAGCAACATTACCCCTAACTCCTCAACCCACATGCTTGCCACTCGGGCAGTTACAACATTCTTGCATGCCATTTTATTTGCTGAAATGAGGGCACATCGTGAAAGTGAACTAGCTATGATAATAATAAAACTGACAGTAGTAGAATCTGTATTTCTGCATTTGTGGATTTATTAGCATTGTGCCCACTTGTGTGTGAGTTTGCTCTGGGTTTTAAATTTTCCTTCCACCTACAAAATTATCACTAAAGAATTGGTATCTTGAGACTCAATAGTTTCCTGAATAGGTAAAGGACTGATTATATTGTAAGTTGTAAAATAAGAGCTGTATTCATCTTAAACAGAAGGAAAAAAGAGTTGTACACGTATTCATGTAGCGAATTTAGCAGTGCTCATGGGCAAGCGTATTAGTCGAATTTGCATTGGCACTAGCCAAACTATTTTAACTCGCCATGAACGTCACTATATTATTAATATTTTTTACGATTACCATCAGATGCTGTAGGCAATCATTGTGTTGCATCTCGGGTTACAATTTCTCTTTTGTTCCCTGCCATTCTGATGTTTTTCCTCCTCGTTCTGTTTGTGTTCCCTCCTATTGGCTTCATTGTTTTGTGGTGCTGCGCTTGTCGGGAAAATTTCGGGCCCCGTTGACCCGCGTGCCGCCACCGCTGTACCGTCAGGTTTCCTGGACTCGAGCGTGCACCGCCTGGCCCTCTTCATCTCCGCTGCCATCTGCTTCATCGTCCTTGTCATTGTCATCGTCTTCATGTACTTGCGGTGAGGGCCCCCACCCCGTCTCTGCTCACCTTGATTTTGGCTTCACAGCTCAATAGGAGTGAAAATCCATTCATCCTCTCGATTGCCGCGTCATCGAGTTCAGTCAGCCTTTTCATTCCGCCTTGTAGCTGCGCCGTAAGGGGCAGCTCTCCACAGTTTGGGACGGCTGTGTGTTGGGAATCTCTGCAGTCACGCGTGGTAAGCACGGCGACCACCAGCGCAGTGCCGAATCAACCGCAGCCACACGTCAGACTCGTAAGCCTTCTCCGAGACAATCTGCCTGTTTGTGGCCTGTGTAAGGTCGTAACTTTTTTTTAATGACGATGCCGGTCTGGTCCGAGTCCTGCCACCGTTGACTTTTGAATGTGATGGAAGGCAGTTGCTGAGCGATGGGCACGCGTTGATCCTTTGCTGTTGTCGCGATCGCTTCGGTGAGTTTGCACAATGTCGGCACGTGTGTTTTGTTTTTGTTAGCCATTGATAACGCTTGTGCGGTCACGTGCTCTCCTCTGCATGCGTGCGCGCAGATACAGGCGCCAGGAAGCGAGGCGCAGAGGACAGAAGTGGCCGGAGCGCGATGAGCTCATCATTCCCCGCGGCAACACCCTGGAGGATCTGCTGGAGGAGTGCCAGAGTTCTGGCAGCGGCTCTGGGCTCCCCCTACTGGTATCTACTCCGGCTTCACACGCTCAAAGTTACCCACTTGTAACATGACACACAACTCCAAGGAATTGAAAATCTGCCCATCCCATCAGGCATTTGTTTCCTGCCCTTCATGTATTTTCCTCTTGTGATGGGCTTCCTCATCATTTAGAGAAAGTGTTGGATTTGTCTGTTTTGCTTTCCTGTTGAAATACTTGTTTATTATTATTATGAATATTGAGGACGGGTTACTAAATTACGTGCGATTAAAAACCTCCTCGGCTCTCTCCGCAGGTGCAGCGGACGATCGCGAAGCAGATAGCGCTGGTGCGGGAGATTGGGCGTGGGCGCTTTGGCGAGGTGTGGCAGGGCCGCTGGCGTGACGAGACTGTGGCCGTGAAGGTTTTCTTCACCACCGAGGAGGCCATCTGGTTCCGCGAGACGGAGATCTACCAGACGGTGCTCATGCGTCATGAAAACATCCTTGGTAGGCGGCAGAGTTGCATCACGAGGGCACTCCTCGAGGTCGCTCACAAGGCTTTGCTGTAACTACCAAAGCTTCACAATCGTGTGCACCGGCGCAGGACCCTCGGCCTGGGTGTCCAGCGACGGATAATAATTATTGTCCTGTACGGGTAGTACAGGACAGTCAAAATCGAGTTATATAATGTAGTGTGCAGCGCCTTGTTCATTGAAGGCCTCCCCATTCCCGCACCTCTGATTAGCACGGTTGGCTACGTATAGTGCGAAAGAAGTTCAAGATACATACGTGTCAGTCGTGCAGGATTTTTTTTTAACATACTGCATCGTACCGGTCAGTGTGGGTTGGTGAAAGAGAGGGCCAGAACTAGTTAATTTATCATTGACTGTGGATGTGAACTGTGGCAGTGCTCATAGCGCAGTGTGCTAACCACTGTGCCACTGCTCCCTCCAGAGTGTTTTATACAACACTAATAATAAGAGTGGCAGGGGTGGCCTTAATGTTCGGTGAGATAAAATAAGTGAGGTTGAGATACTATGGAAGTCTGGTGAGAATGGGATCTCATTAGACTGTGGAGAAAAAGTCTTCGTAATAGAATAATAGGGGGAAATAAAGACGTGCTATAAACAACAGAGGCTGCGTTGTGCCAAGGAGAATTTCAAGAAAGGTGACGTGAGATACAAACACATGGCGGGTATCTCTTAGAAGTCATGGAAGATGCTGACAAAATAAATTGACCCTAGGTAAAGCTAATACGTGGATAAATTAAAATACAGTGCAAATGTTAAGGTGTAAGATGAGGGATTGACTAGTGTTGGGTCCATCACGCAGGCTTCATCGCAGCCGACATCAAGGGCACCGGTTCGTGGACCCAGCTGCTGCTGGTGACGGAGTACCATGAGAGCGGATCGCTGCGCGAGTATCTGCGCTCCTCCACCGTGGACGGCCGCGGCGCCCTGCGACTCGCCTACTCGGCCGCCTCGGGGCTGTGCCACCTGCACACCGAGATCCACGGCACGCGCGGGAAGCCAGGCATCGCGCACCGGGACCTGAGTTCACGCAGCCTGCTGGTGAAGCGCGGAGGCACCTGCGTCATCGCCGGACTTGGCCTCGCGGCCAAGTACAACAGGTGGGTGCACTCCGGGGCGGTGGCCGCTAGCTCCAAGTACTCGTGACGGCCGTGTCGTAGCTGTCAACCTTGAGAGGCGCTCGCAAACAGCATTTTCCTAAACAATCAACACGGCAATATGGGGGCGGTCCTTTGTGTTAACTAGTTATTCGTGTGTTGAGCGTGCTACGGGTGATTGTGGTAGTGCTGGTGATTGGTATAGATTGTGGTGGTGGTGGTGGTGGCGGCTATGGTGTGTCAAGGTGATGGTGATTACTGAAGTGCTCATGATGGTAATTGCTGCCAAAAGGTATGTATGTTGATCTTCTTTGGCCTCATGCTCCTCGCAGTGAAACGAACGACGTGGACCTGCCGCCGACACCGCGGTTGGGGCTGCCCCGGTACTGCGCCCCCGAGGTGCTGGACGAGCGACTGCACAAGCCCAACTTCCAGGCCTACCTCATGGCCGACATGTACAGCATGGGGCTCGTCCTGTGGGAGGTGGCGCGCCGCTGCGTGTGCTCTGGTGCGTGTACTTGCCAGCTGTCACAGACCTCATGTGTGCCGGTTTGTGCATTTGTGGGGAACGGTAGTGTAGCGGTTGGCGCGCTGCGAACCCGGTGACCCAAGTTCGATTCCCACTCACGGCCAACACCAGTGACAGTGATCTGAACCGGTCCTGGGCCTACCCTAGGTCGACTCAGCCTCAAATGGGTACCCGGTGCAATGTGTAAACATTGCCAATGCAGAGACAAAGGTGGCCGGGTGTGGTGCTGGCCACGCACCCTCTCGTTTTCCTGTGCCGGCCTTCAATAGTGCTCACTAACAGCACTTGCCCCACCAGTTTAAGATAAGGCTATACGGGGGATCTTTGTCTTTTTGTGCTGATGGTACTGACCCGGCTGGTGCCGTCACATGTCGTTGCTCCGTGCAGGCACGGTAGAGGAGTATCAGCCTCCCTTCCACGACATCACCTCGGCAGAGCCCTCATACCAGGAGATGCGTGATGCCGTGTGCGTCAAAAGGTTGCGCCCCCTGCTGCCCAACCGCTGGAACTCTGATGAGGTGACTCCTCCGCTACCTGTGCCTCATAAACCTTCGCATACGCAACACAACATGCCCCTAGTCCATGGCCACTGGGATGCATTACTGCACCAGCCAGTGGCTTGAACTAGGTTCACTAGCTCAGCCCACGTTTCCATAGCAGCCCTACCAGGCCGACCTGACACCAAGCAAGCTTGGGAAATGAGCTTGGGAACACACTTTGTCTTGGATGCTCCACGTTTTTTTTTACCTGGGTCACCTTGCACCAATCTTAACATCACAGGGTCACCACCGATATTGGATGCTTCATCCGTGACATCACTCGCATTGTTTAACCTCAGGGTTGTTGTAGTGTTATGTACAAGAGAATACATTTACAAACAATCTGACAAAAGTCTCGCCTAACCCCCAAGCTTCAGTTAAAACCTGGGAGTTGGAGCACTGAGCTAGAATCACTGACATAGCTCCCCGGTTCTAATGCGGGCAGCCACCTGTGATAAATCTGGGTCCTCAACTGTAGCAAGTTGCGATGGTCTCAGCCCGATGACCAATGGGCTTTATAAAATCACCTCACATCACCGTGCGTAAGCCGTTCTCCATTACGCAGCGCTGCAACGTGCCAGGTTACTGAGCCGTGCTACGTGTCCATCTCCCCCCCCTCCCGCACGCGCGCAGGTCTTGCGGACGCTGGCGAAGGTGATGGCCGAGTGCTGGGCCCACAATCCGTCGTCGCGGCTCACCGCCCTACGCGTCAAGAAGACCCTCGCAAAGATGGCGGAGGCACAGGATGTCAAGATCTGACGGGCCGCCTCCTCTGTGCATGCCGAGGAAACAAAAACAATAATAACCTGATTAACTTTTAAAAGCTAAACAAAGCAAGAAGATTTTTTTCCCGTGGTTTTAATATTTAAATATCTAATAGTTGGCATTTTCTGCACGATCTCAAGCGGAGGGCAAGAGACATTTTACGTTGAAGCATTTTTTTCCATCAGCAAAATGTTGCCGTTGAAGCCGCTGCCCATTGTGTGTGGTCCAGTCGGTACATATCTGCGAGTTGATCATGTGACAAAGCACTGACACAAACTGCGGTGAAATAACATTTGCTTTTGCTCGGCTCTGCATTTGTCCACTGCTGGATGTTCAAGGAAAACTGTGCTTATTTTGAATGAAGTTCTGCCTCTGCAAGTTCCTTTGCGATAAAAACAAAAAAACCCAACAGTTGAGAGATACCACGAAGACGGTGAAGATGGTGGATGAATCCCAAAGTGGTGCCTGCCTTTCAGTTGGGTTGGTGGCCTGACTTCCGCCGCCGATTAAAGTCATAGCCGTGCTGGAGAGGTTACTTCGTGCAACTCAGTTGTGCTGGTGTGTTCGCAGTCTCGTCACAGTGGAGTATTGTTTCAGGCACTAGTGGAAACACCTTGGGCTACAGGCCTGTATGGTGACTGAATGATTTATTCCCATTTTCTTTTGTGTAGCCTTTAGATTGTTCTACAATGCCTCGCTGTTTATTAACTTCCTCCGTAATCACCGCAAAAGCCTGCAAACTTCCGAAAGAAGAAACATCGATCATTGGAAAGTCATTCAAAAGTTCTACTCCGTGACATCGAGTGAACCCCGAACCCATTCTGGGTTTTGTTTAATTCTTCCACAGCACTGTAAACAGTCAATTGTTTTTATCGTCATTGCATCGAACGAAAACTCCCTTCTGAAAACTGGAAATGGACCTTATACTTGAATTACATTTTCCTGGTCATGCGTTTTAAGGCCATTACAGACGTCAACAAAGAGCTCGGGTTTTGTGTTAACACCTTCAAGCCGAGTAGCCGCGTTTCGTATTTCCTGCCAGGAGTTTGGCGATGACAGCTTCGTGTTTGGCCTGTCATGTGGAAAACGTCATTCGACATAACTTGTGAGGTGGCATTCAGTGAAAAAAAAGTGCTGCAGTGTTTGTGTTTTTTATTGAAAAATTTTTTTTCCATTAGTGAAAAAACACGTTTGCTTTCAACATGGAACACTTGTCCTGAAATTGGTGTTAGTCGATGTGAGAGCTCGAATGGCGCTGGCAGTGGGATTGTTCCAGCAGCTGTTGTCGGTTTACTGGCCTTTAGTAAGGCCGATTGACCTCTCCAAAAGAGGTTTTTTTGTGTTAGATCGCATAAATATAAATGTGTTGTTAAACCCACCACCACCCAACACAGTCGTTACTAGTTCAGCACACAGTAACGAATTGGCATGTTTTGTTTACGTGACAAACCTTACTAATTGGCTGTGTCGGGTGGTGGCGAGTTTAACAACACATTTATGCGATCTCACCCAAACACCTCTATTATAGATAATAATTTTGGTCGCGAAAGCCTGTGTTAAACTGAGTGACCTCTGTGTGCGCACCAGGTAGCAGCCCGCTCCGGTGGCAACGTAAACTAAGCGGGTGCAGTCACTCTCCTTATAAACCTTCGGCACGAAATATCAATGTGTGTTCGAGGCCCCAGACATTTAAATGATTCAGTGAACTGTTGAACTTTGCATTTGAGTTCATTTTATTTGTTTCAAACATGATCCCGTTTTGCCGGTTGCTTAGCTGTTTTACCAGGTCGATCCGTGGTGCGTGAGCACAGCAACAACAAAACAACAAGTGCATCGATATTGCAGAGAACGAGTTACTACAGGGTCCCTTCAGGAATATTGCACAACTAACACAGGGGGTATTTAACGGTCGTAAACAAAACACGTGAAAATATTTTAAAAAATCTTGAGCAGGAGGGCACCAGAAAAAAAGTAGGTGCAAGTAGCAAAGTTTTTGAGCAAATTGCATTTTAATAGGAATAAGGAGGCACTTGTGAGGCTACAGGAGTGAGTTGGAGGAACCGAGTGGTTACTTATGTAATTGTTGGGTTTGTTTTAAGAGGACCTTTATGATGAAAACAGCCCATTGATGGTCTCTCCGGGTATCCAGGGGAAAGAGAATTGCGTGAATGTACAGGTGGCAGTGATAATTTCTATAGGGCACTTCGAGAGCAAAATGGAGATCGGAGTGATATGTATGAATGTTGAACTTCGGCACCGTACGTAGCCAACCGTGCTAATCGGATGTGTTGGATGTAATGGAATGAGACGTTTTAATGTAGATTCAGAAGCTAGGCAGTAATAGCAGTGTGTGCAACACAGTACCAACGCACCAGCGCTTAGCACCCTTCTTGCCAAACGATTCATCTTGAACTGGATTGTGAAAGAAAAGTGTGTCGTGGTCTCTTGTTATTTCAGATTGTTATTGTGCTAACTACCCTGTTTGTGTGTATGTACGTATATATGTGTTTCCGCTTTTCTCTTCAATCTGCTTTTGTAAACTTACGTTCGAGTGTAAAATGTTGATGATATTGAATTGGCACTTGCTTTGCATAATGCATTGTCCTTTGAGCTCCTTTGCTCGACCCTTACAAATGTCAACATGCACACACAGCGAATAATGCGATACGATACGAGTAGCCTGCGATGTCGAACTCCGCTTACAGCCAACCCATCCTGGAATTAGTGCAGTGAGTGTGTGCGTGCGTATATGTGCCCACATTGTAATTATACTATTCAATGCCGTCAAGTTAACAAATTATTCAGTGTCTGATCACAAAGGTCAAGCAGATTCAACATGCTCGTGAGCTTCAGTTTTTCATGAAATCCCTCAACATTGCCTGGCAACTCGTGCTCAGTGCTCTGAAAGGGAACCTATCCTGCAGCAAGCACCGTGGTCACATCACCACCCCTGCTTAGTGGCGCGTGGCGTCTGCTCTCGATTCCCGTTGCTGCTTTTGTTGTTGCGTCCTTAATTGCTCGAATCACCCACCACGTGACCACGGTTTAAATTAGGTCCCCGCGGTGGAAAATTGCAAACTAATTCCCAAGTTTACTTTCACATGCAACACGCAATGGTACTCTACGCTATTAAAGCTAATACGTTTGTAAGACGGGAATGAGAGCGAAACGGAAATGCTTACCTTGCCCCCCTGCTCCTGTAGCCCATGCATGCGCGGGGGGACAAACGCAGAGTCGGTTACCGGCTCCGGGAGCGCCGCGGGGCCTTCACTCCCCCGCGCTCGTCTGCCAGGCATGAATGAGAGCACGCCACGTGGTGTTGTATCATGTACATAGGACTTGTATTATTTTATATAGAGTTTGTATATTTTTTCACTATTGGTTTATAGTTCGTATAACAGTTTGCGTAGCTGCATTTCCAAAGACCGAGGTGGGAGGGGAGGGAGGGTGGAATTTCATAGTTGAAAAGAAGCACGTTGGCCATTTGTTAAGCAAACCTCTCGGTGACATCTCCTGATTTGATGTACTATTAAGCGGTGCACACGTAGGCGTGTTTTCGCCGAGTGTTTTATACCAATCGTGTCTTGGGAGTTTCTCAAACTTGAATCCTAAGTCTCATCCTGGTCACGTTTGGTTATCAATATTTATCAAATCAGACGTCAACATGCCCAATTGCATTAATGCCACCACACCTCGCTATTACTTCTGCCAGATCCTTCAGCTCTTTCAAATCCAACATTTGACTGCAGATGTCTGTTCTTCCAGTATCCTACTGAAGGAGTTTTCCCTTGGTGTGTACCACAAAGGTTTGCTGGGTTGAGATTTTGCTGGGTACATTTAGTACTATGCATATTGCCTTATATACAAATTAGGCAACTGCACTCTCTACACGCTCCTGATTGGTCATGAGGAAAATAATTTGGATATGTGGGTCATGGGGAGGCACTAAGAGGGAGTTTGAGAGTCACAAAATTACTTTTGCTGAAAAAGGAGTGACTAATATAGAATTGTCCAGTGTGTGTGTGTATACAGCAGAAGAGAAAGTAATTGCGGAACGGTTGACTGATTTTATATGTGAATACAGACCTTGTTATTATATTCAGCATTGTATTGAGTTCTTTAAAATAAAGCATCAAGCATTGGCGTTGCTAGCTCATGCTTAGAAAGTGCATACCGTTTATTGGAAAAAAAATATACCTTCTTACAAAAGCATAACGTTGTCCATGATGAGCATTAATCCGGCAGCTCTGGTGCAGTCACTGGGTGTCAGAGTACAAATCCTTTATTGCCTAAGAGCCGTAAAGTTCCAACGTATCTTTGCAGGCACAGTGCTCTCCTTTGTTACGGCTGTATCGTGAGGGGTGGTCTTATTGGGATATACTGCACCAGCACTGTGCGATATGCACTTGTTTTGAGTGACCAGCCACGAGGATAACCAAACAAATCTGATGAGATTTGAGGCAGGGCCTGCAGGCTGATCCTCTTTTTGGCTAAAATGTTCTGGTGTCTCCATAAATGGCATCACCGAGGGCGTTGTGTTGTGCTCATTTTGTCAAGATGTGCATTTAGCCCCGAGTCTATGAATGTATATGTCCATTAACATTGGACACCCAAAAATCACTCTGCTTCTACAAACTTGAATTGATGGCTGATCATTTTAAATGCCTTGAGCAGCAGGGCATCGGGTCTGAACCACGTGACAATGCAGTGCCTGTACGTGGGCCCTGAACAAAGCCTAGTGTCAAAAGCTTCTAAATCTCAAAATAGAATTTGCTTACATTTCAGACGTTCCAACTTATCCCTGGCAATGATTGTTGCATGCGAGCTGACGCTAATGAAATCAACAAGAAAGAAATACAGCTGAATAAGTTGATTTACTGTGGTTATTATGGTTTGCTCATCTGGAGGTGTGTAGTGATATCTGGATAAATGATGTCAACGTACTATTGCTTGAATATTAACCCAACACGTCAAAACGTCATCTCTCGCTCCACCAGTCAGCTCTTCCTGTTGTTATCCATTATCGGTCGTGTCTGACGTTACATTAATTTACCTTATGCAGTTTTGCTTTGATGAATATTGGGTGATCATGTGACGATGACTGTACTTGCAGTGGAGCGGAATGGAAGTTCAGATTTGAGCCTTTACCCCCATCTGTTATCCCCCTTTCAACTACAGCTCCACACTTTAAACTTGGCTGCCTTTGGATCTTTAATTCATTGCCTTTTTATGCTGCCTCAAGTATAAAGTAAATGTTTTAACATGAACCATTACCGGACATATACAAACGATATATCCCCCCCCCCTCCTTCTTATGAATATGTTAACATAGAAAAGCAACACGTTACGTTGGGCCCATACTGTAATTACTCTGCTGTATGAATAGTATTGGAATATGTTATACGCCGTGTAAAATGCGATGTACAGTTCCGTGCTCACGTTGCTCATGAATCTCCGTGTGTGTGAAGTCCGAGCTACTGGTGCCCGCTTGCCTTGGCATCATTTACACCCCACGTGTGAGTCGCCTGCAGACTGTTATTTGACATTACCCTTAATTTTTGTTTAGTTTTTTAAAAAAGGATACTGTAATAATAAATGTTTGCTCATTTTCTTTTGACCCCCCACGTGCATCTATTATCTGCTGATGAGAAGTGATAGAGAGGAGTAAGAATAATGAGGGTACTGCATTTTAGGATGTTTTCCATTAACGAGTGCTTGGCGAATTGGAGGGTACCAGAGTACCCGGAGAGACTGCCAAATATGGGAGGATCAAACTCAAAAGATCCGCACACAAATTAAGAAATTCCTGTACAGCCGAAGCAAAGCCACTTGGTATTTCCATTCTCTCGTCTGAGTACTAACCAAGTGCAAGTCAGTTTAACTTCCCGGAGGGAACGAAATCTGACACATTCTGGGTGATTCTTTTACATACGTTTGTCAGTCCGCTTGTGAATGATGACGTTCATTTGCCACGGTTGAATTGTTGCAAGCGGCGCAATGTGTGCTATGAGCCACCGACTGTGGACACCGCCAGTAGCGGCCGCCTTGAACAGTACAGACAGTCCTCGACTTACGAACACCCGCACTTACGAACCAGCTTCCATGACATTTGTTTACTTAAAACGCGAGCTCTCGCTTGCAAACTGAACCATAGCACTATTATTTTGTTCAGCTGAGCGATCCTCCGCGAGATGTAAATTAGTCAGCCGCGTGCTGGGCGTGAGTCTTCGTGTGTGTACATTTAAATATACAGTAGCTTACTGTATTCATACTTACGAACCGTTCCATCTACGAACGGGTTTTCGGAACGAATTGTGTTCGTCAGTCGAGGACTGCCGCCTGCTGGGCGCTCTGTGAATGAGCGACGCGGCTGGGGTCGCGCCTCTCTCTCGAGTGGCCACCACGGGGGGGAGAGGCAAGCGCACGGATTGATTGATCGTGGTTGTGACGGAAGCAAGCGCAGCGATGTCCAGTTCAGATCAGCACCGACGCAGTGTTCTAGTTTACAGTCCTGAGCCGCTGGTGGAAATTCCACATTCCTACGGCGAGCTGAGCAACAACATGGATTCATAGTCACAAGCCATTCTAAACAGTTGTAATTTTACCATTCTCAATCGACCGTTGTATGATGGCCCTTTTCAAGTTTAAAGTTTCATTTATTAAGTATAGCCCTGTGAGCCATGCGGCTCTTGAGTCGGGTGCAACCGCAGTAAGGGTTGTTGGTGAAATTGAAACTCGCCGCTGATGTTATCCGTGGCCGAGAATCGAGCTCGCAATCGCGTGCGACCAACCATTGCACCACCGGAGTGACGGCGCCAAGAGTACCGTACAACTTGATCTTCCCCCCACCTCTCGCCAATGCTGACGCTGTCGCAGCAACGTGCGGATCTGCTGATGACCGCCAGGTGGCAAGCGGAGACCTCTCGCAGCTTCGCGTGGATTCTCGGAGGAGCCCCCAAAACCGGTCCACGCAAAGCAATTGGCAACAAGAAAGATGTCTTCTTTCTTGAGTTTTTGAGAAAAAAAAAATTCTGAACTGTCTTTCTGTGGTTTAGTTTGTTGTCCTTCCCCGCAACCTCCGATTAGCACGATTGGCTACGTACAGTGCGGAAGAAGTTAAGCATACATCTCGGAAGCTCAGCAGTCCTGAGCCTGGATAGCGCTTGGTTGTGCGAACAAAACGCACTCTGGGTTGTCATAGGCGGCTGTGGATTTTGTGCTCCGTTATGTGCAGTGCAGAAGAAAAAAATGTTCTACTGTACTCCTTTGCTCCCACGTCTATGCCTCCCCTGGCTTCAACGCGCACTGAGCAGCGTGATGAAGAACGGTCAAATAACTCCCGAGATCCCCACACCTCGCACGGTGTGGCGAGGCCCTCATCCAGCGGTGGATTCGTTTAATGCACATTACGTTTTGTGCCAGCTGGCCAGGGATTAGGCAAAAACGATGCCCACCTCCGATGAGCACGGTTGGCTAAGTACGGTGCGAAATAAGTTCAACATACTGTACATACATTACCGACAGCATCTGGCGGCATGTGTGCAAGCCGGTCTGACTGCCGAAGAGGCGGTGGAATGGTAAAACCGGTTGAGCGTTTGCCTGCCTCGACGGACAACGCTGGACATTTTTGGCCCCATGAATTTCAGCCTGGCGACCACTTCCAGTAGGGGGAGCAATGATATCAGCCACGATTGCTCATGAATTGCGCACTTCGGCGCCAGGGGTCGGCAACATGCGGCTCGGGAGACGCATGCGGTGGCTCTTTGGCTACCTCCCCTCCTTGGGGCTCTTTGGCTGTCCTCTTTGGTGGCAGACGTTTTTTTTTACTTAAATCTTAAAACATAATTGAACGTAAAAGAGAAGTGATTATATATGGGAGGGTATGGGTCGCTATGGAATGCCTTGTTGACAAGAAAATGTACAACAGTCAAACTGTATTGTTAAAGACTAAGGGGGGGGGGGGAACTAAATAGACGAAGTTTATTCCATCACCCATGTTGTTTATTTAAGTCAGAATGTGTGTTGACATCTGCTGTTTACCTGCTACTATGTTTATGTACACGTGGCTTTGCGTGGTGATGCGGCTCGAACTATGTTGGTCAAAGACAAAACAAATGGCTCTTCTTCTTTGAAAGGTTGCCGACCCCCGGGCTGCGATATTGAGATGAGTTTTACAACCGGGTAGGAGCACTTTCAAAGCAGAAGGCTCCTTATCGAATACCGGGAAGACTAGGGCTTAGGTAAATTACAGCGGCTCGGAAAATGGCAGTTTGTAAACCAAACACAAAAATGTTAAATTTGCCAAAAAGATATCATTCTTAATTTCAATTAAATTAACACGCATTGAATAACGTATTAAACTTAAACATGTTGCCCGTAATGTTTATTACTTTCTAAACCTCATTGTGTGCAGTTAACATAGAACGTTAAGCCCATACGCTTAGCAAACACTTTATTTACTGAAGAAAGATCGGGGAACACAGTGACAGTCCCTCCTACAAGCGACGTGTCGTGCTGCTGCTGCTGCTCCTCTGGAGTCTGCAGACGACCGCACTTGGCACTCACGCGCCTTTGCCCATTGGGGAAATGTATTCCTCTTTAATTCGAACCCTGTGATGAAAAAAATATATATATACCAGAGGTGGTGTTGACCACACATCACCTTGTGTGCCGTTTCGGCCTTCATAGGTGCCCTCGAACATCAGTTAACATAGAACGTTAGATCAATACGGGGGGGGGGATCTTTATTTATTTTACGAAAGACATCTTTAAAGTACCCTAAAGAGTCACCACCTACACTGTACTGTATATGTAATGCACATTATGGATAGGGGCGTGTCACTTACAGGAGACCCACACAATTATTCATAACTTTAAATACATTCAAAGCGTAAACACATGAAGGCGGTGGCTTGAGCAAGGCGTTCGTCCAGCAGTAGATTGATCATGGCTGCCGCTGATGATGATGATGACGACGACAAAAACATTAAAGCGGACACCGACGTGAGGGCATTCCCATGCTTGGCGGGGGCCCCCGTGGGCCCGTGGGCCCGTCTCTGGGGACCGTGGCCCCGCTGCGCGTGGCGCCGGCGGCGGCGGCGGCTGCGGGGCTATCCCCAACGTCGTGGCGCCCATCACCCGACTGAGCCTCGCTCCAATTAAAGCCGCGGGAGTTTTACGTTGCTGTGTTGGTGTGTGTGCGTGCTCGCTAACAGCACTTGCCCCAACAGTCTGTTAAGGCTCTGTTGGGGGGGGGGGGATCTTTGTGTGTGTGTGTGTCTTTGCGTTCGTATTGTGGGGAGCAGTAGTGTAGTCGTTAGCGCGCTGCGCTACGAACCTGGCGACCCGAGTTCGATTCTCGCTCACGGCCAACACCGGTCCTGGCCTACCAATAAGTCGTCTCGTCCTCAAATGAGTACCTGCTGCGGTGAGTAAACATCGCCACAAGGGAGACAAAGGCGGTCGACTCAGCCTCAAATGAGTACCTGGTGCAGTGTGTAAACGTGGCCATGGGGGATACAAAGGCGGCCGGGCGTGGTCTTGGCCACCCACTCCCTCGTGTGCCGTTCCGGCCTTCATAGGTGCCCGCTAACACCACTTACCCCAACAGTCTGTTAGATAAATACGGGGGATCTTTCTATTTTTTGCGTCCGTATCTATGCATGGTACATGGTGGTACGTTTCAGATATGAAATGTACATTTAGCGCGACCTAAAGGAGGTTTTCAGAGCACAGTGGATTTGTCGCTCACCACGCATAGACACGAGTCTGTATTCACACAGGAGGGCTGTCAGCTTGCGAGCCTTAACTAACAATGTTTTACAGCACACATTGGAAACTAAGCATATTGAAGCCTGGTTAGGTCACTGGATATGAAACTACTTAAGTATGTATGTACAGTATATGATGTTTAACTTATTTCGCTGTGATGTGGCCAGGACGTGACAGTACAGCAATTGATAATGATTAAATATCGTTTGTACGGACATTATGGGTGTTACCCCTTCGTATGAGTGGGAGAAACCTGACACCCCGGTTTCCTCCTACTTGTCTGTACACACACTCATTTGTGCAATTTTGGAAACTTCCAAATACAACTCGATGATTATGTAAAGAAGATCACTTTTGTGGCCAGAAAACGTAACATTTATTCAATTGCTGCGCATTTATAAAAACAAAAAACAAATGTTTGCCTTGCTTGTTTTTAAAGATCACGTGAGCGCCGGGATGGTCATTGAGAATTTCCACTGCATGCTAAATAAGTCGTGCAATTTGATCCATTGGGTCAAGTTTCAAAGTGAGAGGCTCACTTAACGAACAGAGATTTTCCAGATTGTAAGAATGAACTTTGATGTTATTTCCAAATTGTTAGTATTGCACATTTTTAATTCATTTTTTATATATAAATCAGTCTCTAAGAATGCAAATTAGTGTAAAGACCGTCGTTTAAATAAAGTGGCAAGACACTTTACATGGGAGGCAATAGAAGTGTTCGATAGTGGCGTCACATGTTCTTGTGACTTACAAACACGATTGCAACATCAATGCTTCTTAGTTTAATATTTCACGATGAGGACTGAGAGGAGCCATAACTTTAAGTTCGTGCGAAATTATTTT